TAACATATATTTTATAAATTCAATTTATTTATAATTAATTGGCAATAAATAACATATAGAGAAATAACATAATCGGCGCGGTCTATTAATAATAATTTTAGTTTATCTGAGGGACAAATTCCAACAACCGTTTTCAGTAGATGGGAAAAATATTTAAATAACGACGACGAATTTATTGATTATTATCAATTCGATGGACAGGCATTTGAGAAAATTAATACTGAAGTCAATCGAGCCACAAGTAGTAAAAGCAAAAATTAGACTAAAAAATCAGTTCATAAGTATTGTGAATGTTTTTAACGCACTGTTCCTTCAGACTTCTCAAAGCAACGTTGCCAGTTTTCTTATAAACTTATTGTTATACCGCAGACCTCGCGACGAAGTGCCTATTGAATAGACAGGATTCTTCTATCCTACCATTTGCCCGCCAAGTTGCATTCTATTATAGTGCACTATACCTTTATGATACTTTGTTCGACCAGTTATTTGTGTTTGTCGATTTTACTACTTGACTCGATTGACTTCAGCATTCATTTTCTGAAATAGCTGTAAATAGCTGTTAAATTAAATTAGTGATGGGGTGTGACAATTTTTATCATTAAAAATTATTTTACGACTGCACTCTTTCACCTGTCAGCTATATAAACTTTAAAACTAATTTTCACAGTACTGGTCTAAAAAATGTTATCGGCCAGTCATTGTCTTGATTAGATTATTTTCTATTTTATTTCCAAGTTAGTTCAATATATGTTGCCATTAAAAAAAAGTAAAGTTAAGAAAGGGACAAGGGCGATCATAAAAAATATTTAACCACTACTTAAAAAAAACATTTTTAAGATTATTATTTTATGATAAATTTAGTGAACAATGATATATCAATTAATCTGCTAATACTTATACAATACTCTAAAGCTATTTAAAAATATTTTAGTATAATTTTACACAATTTTTATTTAGAATTTTTATAAATTTATTAAGTTTCAATTTTTGTAAAAATAATCAATATTTTTTAAATTTTAATTTAAAAGTAAAAAAACATTTATTGGAGTGCATGGCCGATTTTAAGCATCTTCTTCAAATTAAAGGTCTATACACGAGGCGTAGATAATTTATGGGAAGAAGGTGGGATAAAAACATAAACTCCCTTCCTAATATTTTTAATTCAATTTGATTCTGTTACAAACAGATTATTCGTCTTTTAACAATTAACAACTATACTGTGCCTGATCAATACAAACGTCTCTCCAGCTCAACTATGAGAGACGGCGCGCGGGTGTAAACAACCCGATTACACTCTTCTTGAACTAATTAAAAACATAATGAAGACAGTCGTCATTCTACCACGCTTGCGGCAACTTACCTTTGTTGATCTGATAATTTAACTCGTACAATATTATTGTGGTTATTAAAATAAATACTATTATTGTTGACACGGCCCGTAATAGCGCACTATTCATTTACCGTGAATTAGCACGTTATCCGGTCGTGATTATCAGCTGTCCACCGTCGCACTCATTAGTGTTGACGATAACACAAGTTTGTCTTAACCGGCGGTCGGTAGATAGGACAGGTCAGGGGGTTCAGCACCGCGAGACGCGTCGGCGACTATGTAAACTAGTTCATCTGGGCCGTACGTACCGTGTGATTTTTCATCAGCGCCTTATTGTGTTTTATTCGCACCTTATTGTTCACCAGTTTTTATAATATTATTTTAGCTTAAAATAAAATAAATCGACTCCATAACGGTGTTACGTTTATTACTAACCTTTAAAATTACCGTGTCATTGTTTATTAGTTATGTATAACTACTACTATTATACTGTTAGCTTCATCTCATTGGGATCGTAATGTTATACCTTATACTTATTATTATTATTTCGGGTTGTGTACAGTCGTCGCCGTCGCTCACCTAACTTGGATATCACCAACATATATATATATATATATATATATTTAGCCATTACTGAGAAATGGATCAAATACGTTGTGCTGTTATACTGGCCCATCTCTTATATTCTACTCAAGACGTTTGTTTTTTCCCATCACTACGTTTTACCGTGAGATCGCGTCACCGTATTGGAGGCTGACTATTTTTGTTTCTTCATAAGAACGTATGTTAAAAGTAGTTACTATTGTATCAATATTCTTCATATTAAAAGTATACAATTATTTAATGTTACGCGTTAATTTTATGTCTTTTTTGTTCTGAATATGATGGTACAATTAAATTATTGAATACTAACTTAACTACCAACTTTTTAAGTCAATAGAACACTTTCATAAATAACTCTGTGCACAGAAATTTTTTTTAATAACGGATTATGCACCTTTGACGTGGTAGTTAACGTTTAAGAATGCTGAAGGACAAATAGTCGATGGCTGGAGAAGTTAGCAGCTTACGATTTCATTTAAAGAAAACCAATAAGGACCCAGTTAAAATAATGCCGATACACTTTTCAAACATCCCTGTATAGACCAATGCAAGTATTGTGCGGATTTAGAAAACTGTAACCGGTCTGTTGAGTGATACAAGTAAAATAACTGAAGAGTTCTTATAATAAATAATAATAATAATAATAAATCCATACATATCGTCATTATCCACAATATGATGGAATAGTCGAACGATTAAACAGGATAAGTCTTTGGATAAAATGGTGTAAACGAATTAGGCTGATCGGGATTATCATTTGCACATGATCCCGTTGGCGTATTAGTCAGCTATTCACGAGACAATGAAATATGCTCTTTAGGAAAAAGTATTAAAATTTTAATTTTCGGGTCATCTTCAGTTGTGCTATAGACCCGTGACGGACTATTTGGATAAAGTTCACTTGACTCTGAGAGAAACACTTGAGCTTGTCCGGGAACAGCTGCGGTTTGGTATGGAGAAGATCATAGTTATAAAAAATACTTTTAAAAAGTATTTTAAATAATATTCAAATATTTAAAAAAAATGTATTTAAAATACTATTTGAATACTTTTCATACAAAAGTATTTGAGTAATACTCAATTACTTTACAAAAGTATTTCAAATACTAAGAATACAATTAAAAAATAATAATAATGTTTTTATTTTAACTAAGAGCAAAAGGTTCCACCTAAATAATTACCAAGAGGGTAATTTGAGTCAAATATTGAGTACTCTTAAATTAAGAGAACTCATTTATTATTTTCGATATTTTTTGTTAGAG